CTCGAGTGGCAGCCTCGTACTGGGAGGCGAAGTGTAGGGCGACCCCCCACTAGATGGAGTGATGCCTGGTAAGACATGCAGGAAGTCGATAGATGCAGGTGGCTCAGGACCGCGCATTGTGGCATTCCTTGGGGGAGGCCTATGTTCAGCAGTGGACTTGTGGAAGGGCTGTAATGATGATGATGATTGATTTATCATAATCACAAGTCTAATGCTGAAAGTCTCTCCAAAGGAATGATACAAAGCACGGGCCACCTTCATCTATAGCATCTAGGCAGACTTACTGCATATCTTACCAGATCATCACGCCCTCTAGTGGGGTAATGTCCAAGACTACGCTCAAGAATCTCCGAGAGACGGGAGTAATGATGTTATTATATTCAGATCCGAAAACAGTCCCAGACAGTGACTTAGGCGCATGGACCATTAAGCTGCATGGTTATCACGTGACGACAGTAACGTGGTAGAAGGACGCCCCAGTTGTATTATATGTAGTAGTTTGAAAGGACCACGCTTTCTCAGAATAACTGTGTGAAATAGTATTATTCTGTTGTTTCCCGTATGGTAAATGACTAGAACCCAAATCCTTTTTACTGGTACCGAGGCATTTTCTCTTAGACTTAAGGGGATTGAATCTGAATTTTTAAAAATCAACCGAGGGGAGTTGTTGCTATTTAGGGGTCACAGTAAAATATAATTACAAATCACAGTCACCAACCTCTCAGAGCAATATTTTCCTTCACCACAGATCATGAGTTAATCAACACTTAAAATTGCAATCTCGGTGACGGCGGGGGTCGAACTCGGGTTGCTTGGATTTACAGCGTACAACTTGGCACCTAAGCTACCATGGTTCTAAACCAGGGCTCGGAAACGTTATTAAAAATAACGTTTTTAAAACGTTCCGGACTGTTCCTTGTATAACATTTAGTTCGGAACAAAAACGAAATGAGAACGTAATGTGAAAACTAAATGAATGGCGCGTGTCACGACAAGTTTAAACCTATAAGGTTTTTTGTTTCGTATTGCAGGGACAAAAAATGGGGAAAAAGCTGTTTAAAATGGTTAAAAACGTTTTCTTGAACAAGAACGATATAAAATTTCGTTCTCTTCATAAAAGTTTTTATTATGATTCCGTTCGAACATAAACGAAACAAATAAGTTTTTAGGTATTTAAGGCGAAAACGTTTCGAAAATTATACCGTTATCCGAGCCCTATTCTAAACGGCTCTATATGATTCGCAGCTCACACATAGCACCACATGTAATGTGTGCATGTTTGTGTACTTGTATAAAAAACAAAGTTATCATTACCTCTTTTACATGTAAATCCTTTGATAGTGAATAACCAGTTGATAAATACAAAACAAGGATAGCGCGAAAACACATTGATAAGCATTTCACGTCCATTTATAATTCCACTTTGTCGAAACTCTAAACTTTGCGAACGTAGTTACGAATTAATTATACCAAATTCAAAAAGACTAAAGTTTTTCGAACGTTTGCAATTTTGTGGTTCCGCTATTCGATAGTGATTAAAAAAAGGTTCAATATAACTGCCTCAGTTAAAACATGTTGCTACACTTTGTTATTAAAACATTGATGATTATTTATAAACAAGTAATTTGATACGTAAAATTTTACGGCCATTTTGTGAAATACGTGAGACCAGGGATTTAAGATAAGAGTCACCTTAAGTTCAGCCTAATAACTCCATCCATTCATCCATTACAGCCTATAAAAGTTCACTGCTGTATTAAATAGATTACCTCTTAAGGAGGATTTTGCCCTAGTTGCCAAGCTTGGCAGGCGGGTTGGCAACCACAGTTTTTTATTATTTTGAGTTGTTAGCAGCAAGGTGCTGCTACCCGTCTTCTGTATTAGTTTCCTCCTGTCGCCTTCTTTTCCTGACGCCCGAGAGACGATATGGGCTCGTGGATATTCTTATTTGTTACATTTCCAGTCTAACTACACAAATATTATTTATTTATTTAGTTCTTGAAACTTATAACTATCATGATATTGGCATGAATTATCTTTTCTTTAATACCTTTATTAATATAAAATACACGAATTTACAATAACAATATACATCGCCAAACTGTGCAACAGTTTGTTGGCGATAATGGCGCTCTTATGTGCAATTTATGGTTTTAATTTTTTGCGCGGCACCTTAATTCTTTTACTAAAATAAAAGTAGCCTAAGTTACTCCTTATAATATCAGCTATCTGCCAGTTAAAGTCTCGTCAAAATCGGTTCAGCCATTTCGGAGATTAGCCGGAACGAACAGACAGACAGACAGACAAAAATTTTAAAAATTGTTTTTTTTGTTATAAGTAACGTATATACTTTTATATGCATTTAGTAAAAATCTGTTATTTTAACATTACAAACAGATTTATTTATTTGTATAGATATGTATTTTATGTTACTTGTATCTTTAATTAATACTTATTATATGTAGCACATTATACTTTTCATAAGAATGTATCTTTCAGTCTTTTCTTTAATGTTACAGTGCTTACGTCTTTGGACGTATATCTTATAAAATCGTTAAATATTTCCTAGTTCTCTTACCATAATAGTTTATTACGTGTGGTATCACATATTCACCCTTCTTAAATTGCTTGGTGTAATATTTATGCGTTATAGGTTGTATAAAGCAATGAGATGTTCTACTTTTTCATGCACTGGAAGTATTTTACATATATTAAATAATTTGTCATAATTTGGTTTACACTATAATTTTACTTTTTTACTTACTAAATACTTGAGTAGTCTAATCTGTAAATGTTTTATACAATCTAACTGTGTTTTGAATGTCAGCCCATAACTGTTCAATCCATAATTGATTACCGAGTCAGGCAGTGTATAATACAGTACATACAAGACTTTTCGATTCATGCGACAGTGTAGTTCTTTTCATGCTTAATAAAAATGTAGCCTACTTGCAACCCTAATGAATTCACTCAAGGTGTAACAGAACAGGTAAATGTCTTCAGCTATTCTTATTTACGAATATACATCATCAGCGTGCTGAGGTAAACGCTACGCTTGGCGAATTGTTGATCGCAGGTTCGCCGCTGATCACTTTTGACGGTCTGGGTACTTTTTAGCTATGAGATCTTTCTGGACCTTTTCATATTCAGTATTCATAGTATTTCGTTTATATACAAAAAAATACAAATGGCAAAAATACTAGAAGCCAAACACGAGGTGATTAAAAGTAAAAAACAACAGAAAAGTTACAGCCTCAATGCGTCCAACGGCTGACCTGGCACAGAACTCCTATCATTTTTAAAAGGTTTTTAGGGCAAGAAGTTTCCACACGCTATCTGCATTATTTAATGAATAATAATTCTATTTGTAAAATTTTACATTTTTGGTGTATATTTAAAACATATCTCATGATAAATACGAATTTTGAGTTAATCATATAACAAATTGTAAAAAGCTTCCGTAGTTGCGATACATGTTATACAATCTTCTTAATTGATTTAGATTGATTGAGATTGAATAAAAGGAAAATTATAGCCTACATACTCGTATAAAGGCCTTCTGAGTGCAGATATCCTTTAATTTCTGACAGGGTTAAAGACAAGGAAGTCAGGAAGTAAAAAAGGAAGGGAATTGCCGATCTCCATAAATAAATATTTAAAGGAAATATTTTTTCTTATAATTTCTCACTACCGAACATGTAGTAAAATAGCATTAAAAATTATAAATAACAATTATATTGTCGCCGGCGGGAATCGATTTTAGCCCTTGAACTACCACGGCTGCTCCACCATTATATTAGGTGGATAATAAAGCAATTTTTTAATAAGAGAGATGATAATATTAAAATGTTTTGTAAAATGTTTATAAACTATAAAATTTAATAAAGTACGCTTTATGTTGTTATATTAAAGCTTACAAATGGTGGACTAAATGCCCTAAGGCATTCTCTAACAGTAAATCCTGGCCTTAGTGAAATAGATAGTTTGATACATCCTACAAATATTATAAACATAAAAGTTTGTGAGGTTGTATGGATGTTTGTTACTCTTTCACGCAAAAACTACTGAATGGATTTTAATGAAACTTTACAATTATATAGCTTATACATCAGAATAACACATAAACTATAATTCATAAAGATATTGTACATTGGTCAAAATATAACGATAAATATTAAGTAAGTCGGAAAAAATCTGTCATCTGCCAGCTATTGTGTCGTAGAGTTACACGAATATAATGTATGGTGGAATTATTTCTCCTAAATAGTTCTACAAAGAAGTCCGCGACAGTGTATATATATATATATATATATATATATATTTTGTGTAAGCCTAGGAGTAAGTTAGGCTACTTTCATTCTAGGGTTCCGCGCAAAATAATTCCACGCCGTCGCAATCGCGGGGAACAGCTAGTGCTTTATAAGTTAATAGTTAAACACGTCGTCGTAAAGCACGTCTTACAATAATATTTACTGAAGGAGCGTAAATTAATTACAGGCGTTCGATTAGCGGGGGTGGATTTCTTGATTCCTTGCCACGGTCAACTAACACCCGGCCGTGCCGGTTTATTGGTTACTTTTACATATTTGTGCAACTTTACGTGACTCTTACCGTTACAGGCTATTAAAGTCCACTGCTGAACATAGGCCTCCCACATAGGGATCCTATCCCATCCCTCATAGGGAGATATTAGTCATAGTTGCCATGCTTGGCAAGCGGATTGGCAACTGCAGTTGTTTTTTGAATTTTAGTCGTTATTAGAAAGACGCTGCTGCCCGTCTCCTGATTTGTTTCCCTTTGTCGCCTCTTACGACACCCACGAGATGATATGGGGTAGTGGATATTCTTACACCGCCACCACACGGTATAAAATTATGCGAGTTAACTTAATTGCTGTTAAGATGAATAGTTTTAAGTCAATAAATCTATGAATGAAGTGAGACTAAATATAACAACAAAAATAAGCGACAAGCTTATGGAGCCTATTAAAATTTATTATATTAAAATCCATGAACACTTCGGGCCCTTTCTGGTAAATAGAAAACGTTTTTTTGAGTTTTTGGTTGCATTGGTCTATCAGGCTGAACAGGTCGTAACTGACGATCTCCATCGGGCTGTAAGAAAAAAAAAAAGAAGAAGTCACTAACAAACATCAAAGTAAACACTGTATATAAGATGCAACATTATAATTAAATATTCTCTAATAATTAATTGAAAAATCATTATGTTTCTTGACATTCCTAAATATTTCAAATCTGAAATGGAAGTTTCACGGAAGTTTTCTCGGTTTTTTAAAGCATTGCAAAATGATGTGGCCACAGTGGCGCACTAGCTTACTGAGCTTTGGATACTTGGAACTTCACTACATTTATATTTCAGCAATTTATGCAAAAGGCTGTTTGTTGTTATTTGTCTTAGTAGCCATGCATTCCAGTCGGGGTACTATTCTGGTTTCAAATTCCAAGTCGGGCCAAAAAAGAAAAAGTTATTAACTATTTCTGTAAAGAAATTCTCAAGAGCGGCCTTCAGCAAAGAAGAGCTTTTGTTCAGAGGCTAGGAAATATATTTAATGACCATTTTTGCCAAAATAAAGAAAAACAATATTAGGTACAATCTTGTGTTATAAATATAAACAAATATTATAAACTTAAATATAATAAATTTAAGTATGATACACATTTTTTCTCACTTTAGTTCATCTATCAAACCGGGCATATATTGAAGACGAGTCAAATTAACAGTACCTTTAACCGACGAGCATGTATGGCGCTATCTACGCATACATGCTCGTATGGGTGTGAAAGGCCGAGAGGTGTGTCAGAGTTGTAAGAAACCATAATTTAAAAATCCTTTTAAATTATGGTTTTTCTTGATAGAACTCCGCCAGTGTTAAGTGACGTTCGTAATCTCCTGCTTGACTCTGGGTGATAGGCGTGAGAAATTATGTATTATGGATTATTATTAATACTCACTTTGTTGTGACGTCGGTGGCTTCTGGCTTTTTGTAGTTTTCGTTCTAAATAATTTATCTTTTCCTGGTAATATTTTCGCCTGTCGTGACCTATTTGACCCTCACTGTCCAAATGATTTGGATAGTAATTTTTATGCCTTATTTCATTGTAGTTTTTATATGCATATTTTTCATCTCGCAAGTCAGGTACTCTGGAATCTCGCCTGTTTAGATTTTGATCAAAATTGTCATTGTTAACTAAAGCGCGTAATTTTTTTCTGTATCTGTCATCGTATTCCACAAGCGCATTTCGATTTCTAGAAAGTATTCTGTTAATATATTTTAAATCAGCATTAATGTTATGATCATTTTCATTTATGGGCTTCTCCAACCTTGTTTTTAAAGATCCAAAATCCTCATTACTGTTTCTTTCTTTGAGTAACAATCGTTCATGTACATCTAAATTATTATTATCAGTAGTTAAACGTCGGTTAGATATATCTTCTTTGAAATTATCGCCTATACGATTTTTATCATTATTTCTTCTCTCGTTTAACAAATGCTCATGTACAGTATTTTCAAATCTAAGAAAGTCACTTTTTTCAACTTGGTTAGCATCATTAAGCTTCCTAGATGATATAAAATCTTTTGGTTTATTGCTTATGCGTCCGTAAATTTTTCTCAATTTGTCATCCAAAATTTCTTTTTCAGTTTGATTCAGGTTAATATGATTGACTTCTTGTTCTAAATTGTTTAGTAAATACATAAGTTTCTTATCAGTGTCTTCATTGGATGTTTTTCCATATAAATTAGAGATGGAATTGTTGTCAACGACGATATCGTCATGGAGTTTATTTTTAAATATTTGATAGTTCCGTGGAATTAGTTTTTCTGTACCAGCTGTGTTAAGTCTTGCTTTCATATCATTTAAATTCAGAGATTGTATATTATTAACACGGTTATTGATCTTTAGGTCGTTATGTAGTAGTATATTATCGGAATTTCTTTTTGTATTCATATACGTTTTCACAAGGTTTTGTACTTTTGAAAAATCTTTTCTCGGTAGTACATCCTTTTTAATTTGTGTTTTTATGGGTAATTCAAATTTCTGAACCTTTGAAAATAAGCTTTTTCTTGAAATTTGATTCTGAAACTAAATAATAACGGCTTATGTAGATATTTCTCGTCATAAAACTTATATACTGCAACTAACATTGTCATTAAAGATCATTTGAATAAGAAAGAAAAAAGAAAATGTATACATAAAGATAGAAATGGTTATATCTATCAAATTTTGATATTTTTGGAAGGTATACTGTATATTATTATTTTTTATATATGAGGCACAAATTGCACATTTCAACAAAAAATAATGTAAGCCATAAGCACCAATCTATCAGACATTTAGTTTAGACTTCATAGTGCTCAAATTGTAAATTAAGTGCTGATAAACTACCTAGTCAGTGACTAAGTAAGAAATCTTGTAGAAACCTGCAGATCTAAAAAATTACAAATATCTTAAGGAGACGTAATTTCTGCCAACAAGCGTTGCAGCAGAACACGTACTCCTCTCTGCTTCACTTCAAAAGATATGAGAAAATTCAAAAGATATGAGAAAATGCCATTTTGAGTCGACTTCAAAAAAGGGGGAGGTTCTCAATTCGACTGCTTTTTAATGTGTGTTACCTCAAAACATTTTTCTGGTTGAACCGATTTTCATGTTTCTTTTTTATTTGAAAGCTGGTGATTTTCATGTGATCCCATATAAATTATTCAATTAATCAAGATCTACGAGTACCAGTAGTTTTGAATTATCTTTCATAATGCGTATTTAATTGCCTTCGACTACATTGATGATGGTCTCATTTCATTTAAATTGAAGTCGGGTGTAATTTTTTTTAGTTTTACCACTTATTTACTCTTTCTCTCTCTTTCTTTCTCTTTCTCTCTCTCTCCTCTCTCAGTGAGTACGTACTTGGCTATATATTTACTTTACTTTACTAGCATCACCCACAGCTTTCTTACTGCATACAATGCTGCTGAATATACATATACCTTTCCAAAATTACACCAGCTGTCATGAATTACTTATAAAATTTGCCTATACTCATGTCACTGGTCTCGCCATGTACTGGCGGTGTAAGAATATCCACTGTACCATATTATCCCGTAGGTGTCGTAGGAGGCGACAACAACTAATAAAACAAGAGAAGGTCAAGGTAATAAGAAACTGGAACAGGATGCTTATTTTTTTAATAGGTTGTGATGAAAGACTGAATGATTCTGAGCAGGCGGGTAGGAGAGCACAGCACCGATACGTTGAAACTGGTAATTCTGCTCTCCATGAACAGTCTGTGGACTTTGGGTTTATTTTCTAATGGATGTACTGGCTATATTTTGGTCGATAAAGTAACATGGAAGGCACACGTATCCTCTCATTTCTGAGAGATACGTGGTAAATCAGGACTTAAAAAAATTATGTTTCCGGCGGGTATTGATCCTGGAATTTTACTAAAGCACACACAAAGCTAATATTTTAATTAACGTGAATTATCGATTCCGTAGCGATGAAAACCTAACTGTATTTTCAGTTGAGTAAATTCAGGAAATTTAGTCAGAAATTTGAGTCGGAATTTTATCTCTATTCAATATCCTTAATATTAAAAGCTTTCGTTTTAACAGAAAGGTTTTTTTACGAGCAGCCGGAATAAAAAATGTTGTATATTTGTAACATCTTATCGGTTTAGTGCAGAGTATGAAATTACATTTTTTAAATGATAAGAATATAATAATGCTCCAAAATCTGAATTACTACACATATCTCTTGTCTGATTAAATAAATTTAAAATTAAAAACACGTGCGTATTCAAATGTAGCGTTGTGTCACAATTTCAAAGCAGTTCATGAAAAAATTTTGGTGATTTGAGATGATTGAACAAACGAGCATTAATATTTTATTTATATAAATAATATATAACTATACATCATATTTTAATGTTATTGAAATAGGTCTTACCGCGCTCGGTCGAACGTGATCAAGGCCTCTATGAATAGATTGTGCCTGATGTCCAATTCCCGGTATTAAAGGTTTCTTCGGAACGTATACATTTTGCATATTCCATGAATGTTCGTTGTTTGTTTGCGATCTGAAACATTAACAGGTAGAATCGGTATTACAATCGGCTTGAGGTACAGTTTATCTGTTTACAAAGATTTCTAATTGATTTTATCTTAGAGACAAACTTATAACAACATATTATATAGCATCTACATCAGGAGTTTTGTAGTTAAGCACTGGCTTCTTTCGGTTTTTACTTTTTTTTAAGTTTCATTAATTATAATTCTATACAAATAAATAAAATTGAAGTGTTTGTAGTGTCGAAATAACAGCGTTTTACTATATGCATATGAAAGTATATACGGTACTTACAACAAAAATACGATTTTAAAATTTTTGTCTGTCTGTCTGTCTTTTTGTCTGTCTGTCTGTCTGTGTATGTTCCGACTAATCTCCGAAACGGTTGGACTGACTTTGACCGGACTTTCACTGACAGATAGCTGATGTTATAAGAAGTAACTTAACCCTTTCGCTCTCCCGTACACTACATATAGGTCATTGCTATTGTCTTACTATTGTGTCTGCAAAGCGGGCAGTGAAAGTGTTAAGCTACTTTTATTTTAGAAAAAGAATTAGGGTTCCGCGCAAAAAATTAAGACCCATGAAATCCAATCGTAATAAATTACGCGCGGCCGAAGTCGCGGGGAACGGCTAGTTATAAATAAAATTGAGGTGTTTGTCTGAAATATCGAAATAATTGTTCGCTATTTATCGAGGTCAACGGGTAATTTGCATGACAATAACACATGAATAACCATTAGAAAAAATTTCGTCTACCCATCTGTCTACCTGGGCTAATCTTCGGAATGCCTGAACCGATTGTTATTATAAAACTTCACGTACTGATTGTGAAAGTGATTGAGAACTTTGAGACTTTTTAGTGAAATCAAAAAAATGATATTTTTTTTTATAGGATAGGGTGACAAGCGAGCACACAGTCCACCTGATGGTAAGTGGTTGCTGTGGCCCATAGACATCTACATCTATCCTCGTTTGCGAATCAAAATGCAGATGCGTTGTCAGCCGTGAGAACTAAGATGGAATGCCTCTTTTCCCGTAAAGAGGGTCTCCGGTTCTCTACGCTCACCATACGAAATACAGCAGTGTTAAGCAGCTATTTTACGCTGGTATTCTGTGAGAGCGTGGTCCCTCCCCGGTCGAGCCGACCCATTCGTGCTACAACTATACTACTAATATAGCTGCGGCATGGCTCTACCACGTACAAAAAGTATTTAACATAAACGATGATTAATATTAATGAAATAAACTTAATTACACTTTTGAAATGTGAGGCGTGAACGAGAATGTATAAATTAGATTACCTTGCTTGTTGCAAATTATTGCGAGCCTCACGTAGCATCTCTTCAAAGTCGTTACGTGAGTAAGCCTGAAACAATTTAAGGGTTACACAAGGGTAAAACAAATGTATAATATTATTTTAATATCAAAATACACATTGAGAGTTAATACATAACTGTTTAGAACGTAAATCGAAACATTTAAAATCTATTATCCTAAATTCTAACGTGGTAGAGCTACGCTGCAGCTACATTATGGTTGTAGCTCAAATGGGTCGGTTCGACCGGGGTAGGACTACACTCTTACAGAATACCAGCATTAAATAGTAGCTTAATGCTGCTGTGTTTCGTATGGTGGGTAATAAGCACCGCAGACCCTTTTAATTGGAAACAAAGCATCCATTTTAGTCCTCATCATCATCATCATTACAGCCCTTCACAAGTCCACTGCTGAACATAGGCCTCCCCTAAAGAATGCCACAAAGCACGGTCTCGACCCACCTATATCCGTTGACTTTCTGCATGTCTTACCAGGTCGTCACTCCATCTAATGGGGGACGCTCTACACTTCGTCTGCCAGTACGAGGTTGCTACTTCAGAACCTTTATTCCCCATCGGTTCTTCGAGCTCTATGGCCGGCCCATTGTCACTTCAGCTTACTAATCCGTTGGGCTATGTCGGTTACTTTGGTTCTGCTGCGGAAATTCTCGTTTTTAAGTCTATCACGCAGAGAAACCGTGAGGATACCCCTCTCCATAGCTCGCTGAGCGACCTTGAGCTACCTCATCCGGCCAGCAGTGAAGGACCACGTCTCAGTTCCATAGGTCATCACTGGCAACACGCACTGGTTGTACAGTCTCGTTTTCAAGTTTTGAGGTATATCTGACGAGAAGATGTGCCGTAATTTCCCGAACGATGCCCAACCGAGTTGAATCCGTCGATTGACCTCTCCATCTAAGTTGGACTTACCTAGTCGGACTATTTGTCCCAGGTAAACATACTCGTCAACAACTTCGAGCTTAGTGCTCCCAACAACTACCGGCATAGGTCTGACATGGACATTAAACATGATCTTTGTTTTGTCCATGTTTATCTGAAGACCTATCTGTTAGGAAACACTATTGAGGTCATTCAGCATAGTGCTTAGGTCCTCCAGTGATTCTGCCATAAGGACTATATCGTCGGCAAATCGAAGGTGAGTGATGTACTCGCTATTGATGTTAATACCGTATCCTTTCCAGTCCAGAAGCTTGAAAACGTCTTCCAATGCAGCGGTGAAGAGTTTCGGGGATATAACGTCACCCTGTCTTACACCTCTCTGCAATTGGATAGGTTTCGTACTCTGGTTCTGTACTCGGATAGCCATCGTAGCCCTACTGTATAAACACTTCAGCACTTCGATATACCGACAGTCAACTTGGCACCGCTGAAGGGACTGCAGCACCGCCCAAATTTCGACGGAATCAAAGGCTTTCTCATAGTCCACATACGCTAGACATAGTGGCAAATTGTACTCCTCGGATTTCTGTACAATTTTCCTAAGTGTATATGTATGTGGTCTATGGTGCTAAAGCCTTTTCGGAAACCGGCTTGTTCGGGAGGCTGGAAGTCGTCAAGTCTTTTAAAGAAAGTCGTCAAATATTAGTACCTAGGCCACTGGGTAACAGATGACTTAAACGATGACTTAGATATAGAAAGGGAACGCAGGGCAATAATAATTTAAATATTATTCTTAGTCTTCAAGGGTGACAAATCTTCTGCATTTTGATTCTTAATTGAGGATAAATGTAGATGTCTGTGGGCCACAGCATCCACTTACCATCAGGTGAACTATGAGCTCGTTTGTCACCCTTATTATATAAAATGAAATAAAAAATAACTAATTAGCATATAGAGTTAATCCTAATTGATAACGCTGGCTACGTTTTCTAAATTGATTGCTATATTAATTCTTTGGACGCGAAAGGAACCAGATCTTTCATCACCCTCATTTTCAGATACAAGGAATTCACTCCTAAAGTAGTATTTGCTGCAAATGATATATATACATATTCATCAATAAGAGCTTATATTTTAGCTATTAACTCAGTTCAGCTGTTGTCTACGCATGTGAACTATTTCAAGGACTGATGAAGTTGACCGATCGTTGATCCTGATATATGTATGTAAAAAAGTTAAACGTAGATTGATTTTTTTTGATACGTGTAAGAATGCTAGGATCGCCATCTACGCTTTCACGTCCTTCGTATAGTTTTTAATTTCTCAGGCAGTTATTAAGGCCCTGTTATACTGCTGTAAAAGTATCCCCAGCGAGTAATATCCCCACGCGCGATATTACTCGCTGCTTATTATGCTTATTGCAATGCGTGCAGTGACAGGCAAGCACACAGTCCACCCGACGTTAAGTGGTTTCTGTGGCCCATCTACATCTGTCCTCGTTTTTGAATCAAAATGCAGATGCGTTTTCAGCCGTGGGGACTAAGATGGTATGCCTCAATAAATGAAATAAATTTTTACGGATTTTTTCGCGTTTAATTTAACTTTTTAATTCCCGACGTTTCTGGTGCTTTACAGCATCCGCTTGACGTCACGGGTGGTTGTAAAGCAGTTTCATTTAATGTGTAGTCTTCGCGTAAATATAAGAAATCTTTATTGTATGTCTCTTTTGCAGTAAAAAGGATGTACGGATCACAGTAACATTGAGCTGCTATTTTACGCTGGTGATCTGTGAGAGCGTGGTCTTTCTCCGGTCGAGCTGACCCATTCGTGCTACAACTATGTATATAATTAATATAGCTGCAACATAACTCTACCAAGTGAAGTGTGAGTGCATGTTTTTGTATATTGTAACTTATTTTGTATTTTAATTATTAGAAAATGCTGCATTACGTGTTTCTAATGGCAGTTTCGTCAGGACTAGTGGATTGGACTAACTTGGCCGCTTCATGTTTTATTACGTATAAAACCTCAGTGGTTTGTGGCATTCTTTGGGGGAGGCCTATGTTCAGCAGTGGACTTGTGAAGGGCTGTAATGATGATGATGATGATGATGATGAAAACCTCAGTGAAATTGATTTTATATGGTGAAATTAGGTCACATAACCTAGAATAAATAGTTCTATTCAGTTCTAAGAGGCACCCTGTTAGGATTGAACTTTGTTGGCTCGTGTATCGACGAAACTTAAAGGCAGGTATTTATTTTCCAAACTACTACGGCTCTTCTTATACCTATGCCTTCCTTCTATATACTTACCCATATAAAGGTAAACTTCTAATCTTTTTACTCTAGATAAAATTTGTTTGCGAAATTAATTGAATTATTGAAACTGGCTTAAAAATTATTAAGAGAGTTAATCGTTACCTCTTTTACGGCGGAATTTATCTCAGTTTTATCGTTGTTGAAAATTTCTAAAATGTCCGACTGATCTAGGGTCTCATTATTGAATCTGAAATGAAAATAGATGATGGATTATTTCTCGGAGTTTTTTTAATTATCAAAAAAATGTTTTTAATTGCAGTAGCAGATTTTTAGATTTTTTAAATAGAAATCTGCTACTGCAACTATTTATTACCCGAAGTTTACAACTTAATGAGAAGGACGGCCGCTAACTCGCCGTTGGGCGGTAAATATCGCCGTGTACAAAAAAAAAAGAAGCAGTCATAAGAACTGCCGACCGAAGTGAAAACTCAATGATATATGCGTATACATGTACACAGGCCGATATACTACACGTCCCGTAGACATGGTCGTGACGTATTACCCAACACGTCACGAGCATGTTGAGGTCATCGGTGACGCGAACCTATAAGTTTTTCGCCTACCAAAAATCGCTCAACGCGGCTAAAGAAGTTTTCACTTCAAAAAGTTTAACTTTTATTTTATGTTTTATGTAATGGCGCAAGAGAGTTCAATACTCCTTATCATCCCGATAAATGTCGTACGAGGCGACAGAGGAAAATTGAAATAGGATATCTCCCTGATATTCTTTTTTATTGTATAAGGGTGACAAACGAGCACAAAGTCCACCTGATGGTAAGTGGCAACTGTGGCCCATAGACATCAACATTTATTCTCGACTACGAATTAAAATGCAGATGCGTTGTCACCCGTGAGGACTAAGATAGAATGCCTCGTTTACAGTAAATGCGGTCTTCGGTTCTCTTCTTTCACCACACGAAACACAGCAGCATTGAGCTGCTATTTTACGATGGTATTTTGTAAGAGCGTGGTCTTAACCCGGTTGAGCCGACCCATTCGTGCTACAACTATAATACTAATATAGCTGCAACGTGTAAAAATGAAAGTAATTTTTAAAACAATTTATTTTGAAAATCAATTAGTTTCATTTAATGTATAGTGTTCGCGTAAATATAAGAAATCATAATAAATTTATATCTAATCTTGATTTTATACGGCAATTTTAAATTATTTTATGCTATTTTACGCTATTGTGCTGTTAGAGCGTGGTCCTTCTCCAGTCGAGCCGATCCATTCGTGCTACAACTATACTATTAATATAGCTGCAGCGTGGCGCTACCACGTAGAAAACAACAACAACTCAAAATACCAGTTTCTTATGGTCAAATACTCATCTATCATTTTAAGTGAAAGTGACGGTGATACCACGAGATTTAACGCCATCTTAAACTTCAGCAGCGTTTGAGTATTTGGGTTATATAAAGAGCAACCATGACAAACTCTTTGAGGCAATCTGGGGAAGCCTATGTTCAGCAGTAGACTTTGATAATTTTATAGGTAATTCTAATTAACAAAGTTAAGGAGCTTTAGATATAGAAGACAGAATATACCTTTTTGCTATTAATTTAGTAGGCGGCGCGTCTTCCATTGCAACTATTGGCAATAAAACAATTGGTGGAGCGCAGTTTCTACCACTGCACGATCGTAGTTTCTGTTTGGGAGCTGCTGAAATAAAAATGTTTTCTGCTGAATTAAAATTAGTTATTTGGGTGTATCTACTATCTATAGTACTTCAGGAATATTTAGCTACTAGCTACTTCGTCCGCGTTGCTTGATATATTAACAAAGTTTTCGATCTTCTCCGCAGCAAGAAAACACACATCACTGAACAAGTAGTGCTTATAAAAATCGTTGTTTCTTAAAACTTCAATAACTTTATATTAAATGAGGATATCGCAATATTTTTTTTAGATAAGGGCCAAGTGTCTAATTGAAATCTATCCACTAGTTTTTCCATGATGCGCGCACCACTGCAAATCTCTATCATTTTATTTATATAGATAATCTAAATTTATTTTTACGACGGCTCAGTGGCGCAGTGGCTTAGCAATGAGTTGCTGCGCTAAGGGCCGCGGGTTCGAATCCCGCTCGCAACAAATATAAACTGCCCCCATGATACATAAGAAAATACTAGTGTGGAGGTAACGTTATTGAAAATAAAATAAAAAATATATTTGTAATTATTCCCATGTAATGGTAATGTAATAATATCCACTATCCCATCCAATATCCCGTGGGTGTCGTAAGAGGCGACAGAGGGAAACAAATCAGATGTCAACAGCGTCTTCCTAATAACGACTAAAAATAAAAATAAACTGCGGTTGCCATCCCTTTCGATGGATGCAGTGTTTCTTGGAGCGTATGTACTATGTATGTTGAGCAGGGGACTGCAATAATAATAAATGACGTCATAAAAATTGTGAATTCCAAAAATTTTCTTCGAAATTGTCTCGCTAAGAACATTTAAAGTAGTCACAAAATGAAGGTAGAAGCCTTGGGAGATAGATACCATCTTTGAGGCAGTTTAAGGCCAATAGTAGCTTATTTGGAGACTCTTGAATATGGCGTTTGGAACAGTTATTCTGTGCTCTGACTGTTCAGACTGTTTAATCTGTTTGACCAAATTCTTTATTCTGCTATTTAGTTGTTAGATACTTTGACCAACCAAAAAACTTGAGATATTCTTGTTTAGGGACCCAAGTTATCACGTCACTTTGTTTTGATAACATATCTTCTTATTAAATATAACTTATATTTCATTAAAAACATTAATATAATTTTTACTTTAACTTTTTTAAATACTGAAATGGAAATTAATTAAAATAGTCCCTAATGGTATGAAGGTACGCTATCATGAGAGCAATCGAATACAAACAATGAAGAACACAGAATGTGTCACTAGGTAAGAAGAATAGAATGAAGAATCTTTACGATGTTTTAACAATCAATCTAAAAAGCTCGGCTTTGAATTTTTCTCATATTTTATTTAATTACTAACTTTAGTACTTTGTACATACGTGTATAATTAGGGTTTTCATTACAGAGACAGTCTTCGTCTTCATCGTACCCGGCGGGGCATCCACACTGAGAGCCAGGGGATGTGATACTTGGCGCCTCTGTGTTGTATACCAAACCTCCCGAACGTGGGCGAGCCGAAAAGTTGCAAACTATTTGGACGGTCTGTAATATTAATCGTGTTTTTTATATAATAAACAAGCACACAGTTCACCTTAAGTGGACACTTTAAAAAATTAAAAAAATTAACCATATTATAACGATATTCTATCAAAAATCGTATTGAATTATGTAAGCCGAGAGGTGTGCGAGATATTCCCCACACTTAAAAAATATAATATAGAAGCTTGTCAAAGTGGTAAAGAACAAGAATTTCCCCGTCTAACTATATGGAAATAAATCGATGAAAATAAATTGTACATTGAACCTGTCTTTTGTTATGTAATTTGTTTATTTGTTTGTGGTGTACAATAAAGTATATTCATTCATTCATTCTACGTTGATAAATGCTTCATCGTGAAGTAAAAACATAGGTAAAAAATGGTATTCTTTTGTAATAGTTTCAAAGTCAGCATTTTTTTTAATAGAGTAAGGGTGACAAACGAGCACACACTCCACCTGATGGTTCTTACCATCAGGTGGAGTGTGTGCTCGTCACAACATCCTCTTGGATGTTGTGGCCCATAGACACCTACATCTATCCTCAAAAAAAATATTGAAATGCTGATTTATTGTCATTCCTAGAACATAAAATGGAATGAATCTTTACCACAATTGAATCAGGCGTTACTTTGCGATAATCCATTATATTGAAGACTAGCGATGCTCCCTGGCTTCACATGGTCGATTTCTGTATCTCGACAATAACGCTACCTATCGGGTACAATTGTGAATCTAAACAATTCTCTAATCAACTTAATCACACACACAAAATTTCATCAATATAGGTCCAGCCGTTTAGGAGAAGTTCAGGTCACACATACACACGGACAGAAGAATTGTATATTATAATATAATATCTATTTATTATACATTTTATTATAGAATAAGGGTGACAAACGAGCACACAGTCCACCTGATGGTAAGTGGTAACATCTATCTTCGTTTGCGGATTAAAATGCAGATGCGTTGTCAGCTGTGAGGACTAAGATAGAATGCCTCTTTTCCAGTAAAATGATCTCCAGTTCTCTACACTCACTATACGAAACACAGCAGCTGCTATTTTACGCTGGCATTCTGTGAGAGCGTGGTCCTTCCCCGGTCGAGCCGACCCATTCGTGCTACAACTATACTATTAATATAACTGCAGCATGGCTCTACCACGTAAATAACCTCTCCTCTAGAATCATTCTGTCTATTGATGAAACCGCATCAAAATCCGTTGCGTAGTTTAAAAGATCTCAACACAGACGGCGGGAAGCGACTTTGCTTGCATTCTTAGGTGAAGTAGACTCTGCGGTGGCTTAACGCTATGGTTGCGCCATTTGCCCGTGCTGTTCAGCGTGGTGAGTACAGGCAAATCTCACAGTAATGTTTGCAAACTAGTGCATGCCTCAATAAGTTTATGCCTGACATTGGTTGAGATGGCTTTCGAATGTACTGATGATGATTTACAACTGCTGTTTTCTTTCTACTCTAAAACCTATTCAGAAATGAGATAGTGCCCGAGCATTGTGAGATGGATGATTCATTTATAATGAACGGTTTACTTGCATTATAGTGCATAGCAGCGTTGTTTGTTGTGTAGGTGTATTCCGAGTATGCTGACATTCCGCAACCCATGTGAGTCGCGTGGGCGGTGATCATTTCCAAATATAGTTTTCCGGCTTTATTTGTTGGATTTCTGAAATAACGTTATTATAAAGTAACTTACCGTTTTCGTTACCGTTACAGCCGATTACAGTCCACTGCTGAACATAGGCCTTGCCACCCTGGGCAAGTGGGTTGGTGACCGCAGTTTTTTATTTGGAGTCGTTATTAGGAAGACGCTGCTGCCCATCTCCTGATTTGTTTCGCTCTGTTGCCTCTTACGACACCCACAAGTTGTTAGGGTAGTGGATATTCTTACACTGCGACTACACGATATCATACCAGGACTTCCTCTTGTATTTTTTATAAAATACATATATTGAAATTGCTAATAATAAAACATCTAAATGTATATTCTGATACATTTATAGAATAGAATGATTTTTATTCAATATGGATTATTACATAATACTTATTGAAAGTCATTATTTTATTTACCACTGATTCGGAAAATACCTCTGTCCTGGGAAGAACCAGCAAGAAACCCAGCGGGACTTTTTTTTAAAACATAATTTCACTTAACAATAATTTTGTTTATACAATTTTAAATGAATTTTCATAGAACCAGCATGGTGGCGATCACCTTATTCCCAGGGGTTATTTTCAATCATGTATTCCTTGTTATTATAATTACCCTTTTTGTACAGTTTTTCTTTAATAAAACTTTTAAACTTGTTTATTGACAAACTTTGAACATGTTCTGGGATTTTGTTGTAAAAGCGTATACATTGCCCCATAAATGAATTACTAATTCTGTGGAGTCTAGTAAGTGGCATTACAAGCTTATGTTTGTTCCTAGTGTTTAAGGTATGAACTTCTTAAAGCTATTTATGTTTTTATGTATATACATTAAATTTTCATAAATATATTGCGATGCCAAAGTTAATACGTTTATTTCTTTAAATTTTTCTCTGAGGGACTCTTTACAATTTAGATTATAAATCGCCCGTATGGCTCTCTTTTGCAAAATAAATATAGCTTCAATATCAGTCGCATTACCCCATAGCAAAATTCCATAAGACATTACGCTATGAAAGTAACTAAAATACACTAACCTAGCTGTCTCAACATCTGTGAGACTTCTAATCTTTCTTACAGCATATGCTGCAGAACTAAGTCTGCTTGCTAATTTAGATATATGGGGGCCTCATTGAAGTTTCGCGTCAATAGTAATACCGAGAAAAACAGTGGTATCCACAAGACTCAACTCCTCCCCATTTAAGAGCACATTGGTTTTCGAATGTTTTACATTAGGTATTGTAAATTTAATACATTTTGTCTTATTGCTGTTTAAGAGCAAATTGTTGGCGTTAAACCAATGTACTAGTTTCGATAGAGCATTATTTACATCGTCATATTTAATTGACTGCCGTTTCAGTTTGAAAATTAAAGATGTATCGTCAGCAAATAATACTATATCGTGATTGTCCCCTACAAGATAAGGTAAGTCATTAATATAGATTAAGAACAGGGATGGGCCAAGAATCGAGCCCTGAGGAACGCCCATTGATACTACCGATCCGGAGGAACATTTACCATTGATGACGACTTTTTGAGTTCTGTTACTTAAATATGAAGTAATAAGTCTAAGCACCAAATTTTTTACACCGTAATGTTGTAGTTTCCTGATTAATATATCATGATGAACACAATCGAAAGCCTTGGAAAGGTCACAGAAAATACCTAAGGCATCTTGTGAATTCTCCCAGGCATTAAAAATATATTTCATAACCTCAACACCGGCGTTAGACGTCGAGCGACCCCTTGTAAAACCAAATTGATTTTTATGAAGTAATTTATTTGTATTAAAAAAAATTAACAACTGATCCAAAATTATTTTTTCAAAAAATTTACTGTGAGTTGGTAGTACAGAAATAGGTCTATAATTAGCGGGGTCCAATGTACTGTCCAATGACCAGATTTAAATAAAGGTATTACTTTTCTATACTTCATTAAATCAGAAAACACACCAGAATCGATACAAGTATTTAAAATAATAGCAAGATGAGGTGCAATTAAATCTATTATGGACGCAATCACTGTAACGGAAATCCCCCACAAATCTGCGGTTTTCTTTACATCAATGGTTTTGAAGTATTTTACAATATTATGCGGTAATACTTTTTCAAATCTAAATTCTTTTAAACAGGTATTAACATTCTGTTTAAGTAATGACTCGGCGACAGTTGGAGAAGTATTCAATGACTATGTTGTCAAGATAGGAACATCAGTGAAATATTTCTCAAACACCGCTGCAACTTCTTGATTTGATTTAGTCAATTCATTTCACATTAATAGTTATTCCTTAAGGGAAATATATATATATATATATATATATATATATATATATATATATATATACTAGCTCGCCAGGCAGACGTTGTTCTGCCCTTTCCGAGGACCATTTGCTTTTCAAAAAAAATCCTGAGATTAGCAATAAAAATTTGAGGGTTACTTATCTGGATAAAAACTATACACGTATCTCTAAAGTTGGACCAAACTGCACACAGTGTGCAAAATTTCATTGAAATCAGTCAGTAAAGCGTGTGGCGGTGGAAGAATATCCATTATTATTCCGTGGCGACAGAGGGAAACAAATCAGGAACGAAACAAACAAAACAGGCAGCAGCGTCTTTCTAATACATACATATAGAGGGGTAGACAGAGACTATGGACTATCCGGCACGATCCTGACACACCGCTCTCGCCTCCTCCACATCCATATACCTACGCATACACGTACTCTTAATTTGGCCCATTTTCAAAACATCGCCAATTTGGTTAATAAACTTTCGCTTAGGGCGTTCCTTCCCGACTCTGTTATTCATTTCTACAACATAAATTTGCTTTGACACTCTTTCCTCATTCATTCCTTCCACATGAAATATATCTTGCTGATAACAACTAAAATGAAAAACTGCGGTTGCTAACCCGTTTACCAAGCGCGGAAACTATGGCAAATATCCTCCCTATGAGGCAATCTATGGTGGAGGCCTATGTTTAGCACTGGATTTGAATAGACTGTAATGGATGGATGTATAGAAGATAATCTACTAAGAGCACATGACCCACTGAGAGGTGAAATTATTAAATCAACAGTAACATTACAACTATTACAAAATATCCCTCTATGAAGCAATCAATGGTTGGATGTATAGAAGATAATCTACCAGGAGCACATAACCCACTGAGATGTGAAATTATTAAATCAACAGTAACATTACAACTATGACAAAATATCCTGTATGAAGCAATCTATGGGGAGGCCTATGTTCAGCAGTGGACTTTAATAGGCTGTAATGGATGGGATGTATAGAAGATAATCTACCAGGAGCACATGACCCACTGAGAGGTGAAATTTTTACATCTACAGTAAAATTACAACTATGGCAAATATCCTCCCTTTGAGGCAATCTATGGGGTAGGCCTATGTTCAGCAGTGGATTATAATAGACTGTAACGATAACGGATAACGGAACTATAACAGTTATTGTGTTATTGTGATGTTGTCTTGAATACTTACTGCAACCAATCTGGGTATTTAGTGATCATTTCAGGTGTAACCACTGCTTTTTGCATGTACCAAGTCTTGGCGCTCTTTGTGATTGCGTATACCAACTTGGCTTGGTTGAGACCTGGTCCGTTTCCCTCGTCTTTGGGTAAGCTATTTGTCTTCCAATCAGGAAAAGTATACCGCACTATACTGGCGGTTTGTCCGGGATCAGGAAAGGTTTCTGGAAATTAAACAAGGAGTTAAAGAGCGTGCACGTGAACAACTTTTTTTTGAGAGATGTGCGAGTTAGCTGGGCGGTGCGAGGATGCATAGCGAGGCTGTGGAATGGTGTGAGCGTTTCCACCAGAGATGTGCTAGGCCGCTGAGCGGTGCGACGCTGTGAACTGAAGCGTAGATGAGCGGTGCGAGGATGTGTATTGTGCTGCCATCAAGTGACTTTTTTTTTATAGGATAAGGGTGACAAACGAGCACACAGTTAACCTGATGGTAAGTGGTTGCTGCGGCCCATAGACATCTACATCTATCCTCTGTTACAAATCAAAATGTAGATGCGTTGTCACCCGTGAGGACTAAGATGGAATGCCTCTGAATCCGTGCGACAGCAAAAGCTGCCGCGTGGCTCTACCACTGTTGTGTGTGTGACTGCTATTTTTCCCTCGCATCCGCCTCTCGCACACATCCCTCGCAACAAATCCCTCTCACGCATTCTTCTCTTGTTCTATTATGTACAAAAACCTCGCTCCACTGAGCCGTTTTCACTAGAGCTGTGCTGAGCGAGGCTAGGTAAATAATGTTATTCTATTGGTTCTTAACAAACAAATCCCTCGCTACGCATCCTCGCACATCTGTGGTGGAAACGCAGCCTAAGGTTGACAAGCGAGCACACAGTCCACCTGATGCTAATTGGTTGCTCCATAGACATCTACATCTATCTTCGTTTGCGAATCAAAATGCAGATACGTTGTCTGCCGTAGGACTAAGATGGAATGTCTCTTTTGCAGTAAAAAGCGTCTCCGGTTCTCTACACTCGTCATACAAAACACATCAGTGTTAAGCTGCTATTTAACGATGGTATTCTGTGAGAGCGTGGTCCTTCCCCGTTCGAGCCGATCCATTCGTGTTACAACTATACAATTAATATAGCTGCAGCATGACCCTACCACGTTTAAAAATTTCAAGTCAGTTTTTGTATTTAAACGAAACTAAGAATTTCTCCTGTATCGTGGTATTTATCATATATAATTTGGCCACGAACAAACATTCTGATAATAGCATGATATAAATAATTGTAAATTAGTATTAAAAGGTGACCCTTTGAATTTACTGCTGGTTCTTCCTAGGGCAGAGTTTCTTTCCGAATAGGTGGTAAAAGCAGTGACTATTAATATGTAAAAAAATCCATTATATTTTATTCCAGACTCAAAACAATTAATTATAAGTTATATAAAAATTCGATCATAAAAATCAATTCAAATTCAAAGTCTCTGCAGTCAAACGTTGAGTTCCTGGGCTATCTAGGTGTCAAAAATGTAAAATAATATAATATTAAAAATAGCCGGAGCGATGACCATGTCTTACATGCAGAAAATCGATGGATACAGTTCTCCGAGGACCGGTTTTTGTGACATTCCTTTCTTCCCCAAAGGTTGTCGGTTCTTCGAGCTATATATATGACCGGCCAATTGCCATTTCAACTTAATGACCCGTTGGGCTTTATTGGTTACTCTGGTTCTACTCAGTTTCGGTCTGGTTCTATCTCGATTGTGGATTCTATCTCGCTGAGAAACTTCAAGCCCAGCTCTCTCTATAGCTTGCTGAGCGACCTCAAGCTTTCTCATCTGGTTAGTAGTGAAGGAATACGTTTCAGATACATGTGCTATCAAATAGCATATTGATCTGAGACGTATTCTTTCACTACTCACTGGATGTGAAAGATTGAGGTCGCAGGTCGCCAGTGGGCAATACGCAATAGTTGACTTGTTAAAAATTTTGAAAAATGCGACGAGAATAATATTTCCCGAGTGCATAATTTCCCGATTGCTGCCCAGCCGCGTTTGATTTGTCGATTAACCTCTTTGTCGAAGTTTACTTACCTAGACCGGTAATTTGTCTTAGGTACCTTTAATAACGCTTGGCTTTACTTGGTTTTTTTTTTTTTTATTTATTGATCCACCAACATTTGTATCATTCCTTACATGCTATTTAAATACAATGAACCAATAAGAACTAAAATGTACAAATAATTACAGGCGGATACCACATGCTAATAACTATCTCAGCACTGTAACTTTATTTCTAGGGTAAAAAATAATAATAATGATATACAGTAATAAAAATACATAGAGCGAAAAGAAAAGAAAATGTTTTATAGAATATTACAAGAAATAGTCTCTTAATGTGCGACGGAGCTTGTTAGGAGGGTCGAAAAATATATCGATTGTTTCGCTAAATTTGTTAACAATTTTACTCATTCTCGCAATTGGGGAATTGGAGCCAAACACTGTTCTACGATGTGGTCTAGTCAACGGTGTAATCTTACGAGCAAAACGCGGATAGCGATAGGGAACGCACAAATTAAATTTACTTATAATTTCGGGACAGTCAATAACACCATTAATAATTTTCGAAGCAAAAATTAAATCAATAATATCCCTGCGGTTCTCTAGAGAAATCATTTTGAAATAGACCAAGTTATTTTCATATGATACACGCTTCTTATAACTTCTAAACCCACGCGCGTAAGACAAATGTCTTATGAATCTTTTTTGGATCCGCTCGATTCTCAGTGAATGTGTAGCATAATGAGGTCTCCAGACTACAGCACAGTATTCTAATATACTTCTTACCAAACTGTTAAACAATAGAATTTTAATTTTAGAGCTTCGAAAAACTTTGATATTTCTTATTACAAAACCCATCATCCTAGATGCACGCTTAGTAATGTTTTCAATGTGAGGCACAAAAGTTAATTTTTTATCGAAAACAACCCCTAGGTCTCTAATTTGGTCTAACTGCTGTATATTATTATCTCCAATGTGATAGCTATAATCGATGGTATTACTTTTTCTCGCATATTGCACATAAAGACATTTACTAATGTTTAAGTCCATTCGATTTACTTTGCACCATTCCACCAATTGATCCAAATCATTTTGTAGCTTCACTGAATCATTCTCTTCCGTTATCATCTTGCAAATTTTTAAGTCATCCGCATACAAGTACGCACAAGAACTTTTCATCAATTCTGGTATTTCATTAACGAACACTCCAAACAGAATCGGTCCGAGATGTGACCCTTGGGGCACACCAGAATGAATGTTTTTCAAGCCTGACTGATATCCATTCACTACTACAAAAAACGCTCGGTCATTTAAATATGATTTTAGCCAATTCAACAAACTACCAGTAATACCATAGGCAGCTAACTTTCGAATCAATATATCATGTGGGACCCGATCAAACGCTTTGCTAAAATCGGTATATATTACGTCGACTTGTTTTCCCGCATCAAGCGCTTCAATTAGTGTTTCCGTAATATGTACCAAGTTAGTACTCGTGGACCTAGCTTTAACGAAACCATGTTGGCTAGTGGTTAAGTAAAGATTGATATGTCTCTTAATAAAAGGACAAATTATTGACTCAAATAATTTAGCGAAGACTGATAGTATAGAGATCGGTCTGTAATTTTTTACATAATCCGCACTACCCGCTTTATGAACCGGAACGATTTTAGCTATTTTCCATTCTGTAGGAAACTGCCCAGTACAAAGAGAAAGATTGAAAATAATTAAAAGTGGGTTAACAAGATGTTCAGCACATCTGACTACGAACACTGGAGGTATTCCGTCAGGACCTGCCCCTTTGTTACAATTGATGGCTTTTAGTTTATTTAATAGGGTATCATGATTAATTGTCAGCTTTGCTAAGTGAAGGCTATTAATTTCTATTGATTTCAAAGACTCTGAATGGTCATAAACATAATCCTGCTCAGTACATTCAGTATTCTCAAAGTACACGGATGAAAAGTGTGAAGAGAAAAGTTCGCAAGTTTCCACTCCATCAGAAGTTACTGTCATTCCGTCAGTCATTGCGAGGGGATAGGCGCTTGAACCACCACGTTTCGCCTTAACAAAGGACCAAAATAGTTTTGGGTTTTTTGCTATGTCACTCTCTATTAGCTTTATATACCTATTGTAGCAATTTGTGGCCATATGTGTACACCTTTTACTCAGCAATTGCAGTTCAAGCTCATCTCTGGGATTTTTATATTTTTTGTGACGGCACCTAATTTTATACTTATCTTTTAGCGTTCTAATTAGATTCCGATCAAACCAAGGTGGGTAGTTGTTATTTTTTGACGATTTATTGGGGACAAATTTAATAATAACATCTCGAATTTTCTGGTAGAAAATTTGTATCATATCATTTACATCTGTCAACCCGTCAAGCAGTTTTACCCAATCACAACTCTCTAATTCTTTACAAATACTATCATAGTCAGCTCTGTAGAAATTTAATTGTACGTTTTCAATATTGTAAGGTAATCTAATGTCATTCAATAGCTTAACATTTATGTCAAGGGGAGGATGGTGCCTATCAACTTTACTGAGGGGACAAAGTGCCTGTTCCACTGTACAGTTAGGTAAATTTGAAATAACCAAATCAAGTGTTCTATTTAAATTCTTATTTTTTATACGATTGTACTGTTTCAAATCATTAACATTTAAAAAATCAACAAATGACTGACTAACAGTGGAAAGCTCACATTTTGCAGTATCCTCATCTAACAAGCTCCAATTTATGGAAAATAGATTAAAATCACCTACTATACAATGCAGGCACTGTTCTTCCAGGACGCTAGTACAAGTATCATAAAATTTATCATAAGTTACACTTTTTACAGGAGATGGTAAATAAATGGCACAGAAGGCAATTTGATCAATTGACTGTGATGCTGGTGCATCGACTAAAACCCAAAGATCTTCCAGATCCGACTCCCAAGCGTTCATACGCTTCGATTTTAATTTACTTGATACTGCTATTAAAACCCCCCCTCCCTCTTTCTTGTTACTACTGGTAAAACATCTATCTCTTCTATATACCACATATCTAGGATCAAAAAGTTCACTACTCGAAACAGAATCATTAAGCCAGGTCTCAGTGAGTATTATTATTTCATAGTTGTTACATAATATTTGATTATAGAAACTATGTGTTTTGGTCTTAAGACCACTACAATTTTGATAGTACAATTTTAGAGTATCGAATCTTATAAAAAACCGTACCACATAAAAGACTATAAAATAAGAAAGGAACAACCAGAATAATTTAAATAAGTTTTTTTAGGCTATCCAAATTTTTTACTAAAATATAGTCACTGTCATCAGTCTTTCTCATAAACACTCTCCCATTACGCACCCACACATATTTATATCCTCTCTCCCTTGCTTTAAGCCTAGCCGCCGCATGAATTGCCTTGTTCGCTGGGGATAGATGTTCAGTAACAAAAACAGGGGTGGTGTGTCCTGTTAATCCAAGATGTGTGGTATTCAGTTTGTTGTCTGAGTTCGCCTTGTTGTATTTAGAGGTCATCGCTAACATTTCACATCTCGAATTCTAGGCGAAGCTAAATGAACTATTATAGATCTTGGACGCCTGGATTCACGATTTATTTTGGCTGTGCGTGTGCAGTTTAGAATGTCATTTTCTTTCAGAGAGCTGCCGATGACTTTACCCAACTTTGTTATCATCGTTATAAGATTTTCATTTCTTGACTCCGGAACGTTCTGGAGCTCTAAATTACATTGGCGGGAGTGTTGTTCGATTTGATTTACTCTCTGAGCTAAGGCATGAACAGTTCCTTTCAGTTCTTCATTCTCTTTCTCCAAACAAGTTATTTTTAATTTAGAGGCTACATTTTCTTTCTTTATACCTTCATACTGGTCATTAATGAACGTTAAAGATTCCTTAATACTCAACAATTCATCTCTCATAGGTTTTATCTCCTTCGCGAAGAATCCAGCCAAGTTTTCATTAAATCTTTTAAATAGATCATTCATTTTATCTTCCATCACACCTTCTACCACTAGACGGATGTCTTCCATAGAAATGTTCACTTTCTCCGAATCAGAATGCGCGAACCAATAGCTACTCTTTTGTTTCCTCTAACGGTAGTAACGTTTCTCACAGGTGTATTTTCTTTATTTGTAGGTTTTGGTAGTTGGTGGACACATTCAGGGCAGGCCCATGTCGCCAGTAAATCAGAGGAAATAATTTTGCGATCAATCATCATACATGCATAATGATATTTTTTATCGCATTTAATGCAAACAATAAATTCATCACAGTTATCTTTTTCAGAAAAACAACAGCCCCAATTTGCATTAGACATCATAAATCCACTCAAATTTAATTATGTTATATTCAAAAAACGAACCGTGTAATCTTGTCCTCTCAGATGCAAAGGTAATGCACGATATTATCGTTGTTCTATCTGCATTACCTTATCAGTACTGGGTCGGGCGTCGCATCACAAACAGGCCGGGCGTATGCGATTATTACCAGTCAACAGGTCGGATAAGCTCGCAGTTTGCTTAGCAGCGAGCTCAGCACATCGGCACTCACAATTGTTCCTCTACCGCTCAATATAAATAAAAACAAACAATTTCAACTTTTATTTGTTTAAATAATGATTTTAGACCAGGTTTTCTTGAGGTTTTTATATCACAACACAATCTTTACGCACTATAATCATTAGATCTTAATCATTTAGACTTTAAACGTGATTAAAAACTCTCGAATCAAAATATTACTTAGGGAACACAAGTACAGAGCTGCTTTTATAATTGTGTCCAAAGACTGAATGAAATGGTTGGCCACAGTTTTTTTGAATTATCATCAGAGCAGCTCTTGAATAGCAGTTTAGGCTAAGTAAGCGCAGAGTTAGAAAATTACACTAGATGGTGTGATGACAGGAAAAACAAGCGGGTATCCAATGAATGTTCTATGCTCAACAGTTGATTTGTGATGGATATTACTGATGACGATGATGATTTCTAAAATATATTAGTACTTACTTGTAGCTCTGCACATATCATGTTTTAAAACACATTGATTTGCCAACACTTGAGCGAACGTTGCCAATTCTTCGTCCCATTGCTATGAAATAATTTTAAAATGTTAGTATTATTATCATTTTATTTATTATTAATGTTAAACTTAAATATAAATAATTTTTTATCGTATTGTATCGGAATAAAAGAGTAAATGTGTAGCACATGGCCTACCCGATGATAAGTAGATGCTAAAGTGTAGATACCAGCGTTTCTCCTCGATTAAAAGTTAAACTGCAAATGCGTTGTAATCCCTGGGGCCTTTATCCAGTACACATACATAAAGATGTCGAATATTTATCGCTGTTCTTAATCGAGGATAGATATAGCATGTAAATATCTATAGGTCACAGCATCCACTTACCATTAGTAAGTGTTTAGGTGTAGTCGCTTGTCACATTTATTCTATAAAAATCTCCCAATTAAATAGACATTAATACAGACGACATACATATATGTAAATCAAATTGATAAAGAATAAAGGAACTATTAATTTTAAAACAATTCTGTACTAATTTTTTAGGCCACTGTTGGATAAGTATTTTTTTAAACATGCGTTTCAAGACTTATGGCTGATTTTTCCATCGTCAAATAAAAGATATACATCCAATATAATTGTCTGTATATAAAAGTGTAAAAATTGAAATATTTTATTCCTACAACGCTCGAATATATAACCGAATTTTCCGCAAAAATCTAGGGATATCGCGAAAACACGGATAATTAGACAATGGATATAACATTTCTCAATCTTACTGAAAAAAGGAGTTTTGCGAAAACACTGGTTGCACTCGTATAATTATCTCTGATTGGCTTGATTTTGGTTTATAGGCCAATTCTAATTATGATTGATGCCTAGTTTTACCTTGTAGGTTTAAAGTTTTTTGTCATAGAGTTATAAAGGGTAAGAAAATACAATGTCTACTTATAGCAAATTTTCTTTTTATTAATCATTTTAGTTAAAATACAAACTTAGCACCGGGTTGGGTTTAGAAGCAAGTCGCCTGAATTTGACGACGACGTTTTTGGAAATGGTGGAAGTAATAAAATATGTTTACTTATTAAATTAATTATAAAAGTTAACATTTTGGCGTTTTATTTGGTGCAAGAGCGAGCGAAATGGGCTTGGGATTTGGGGAACCCAAATTTTAGGTTTTTTTTTATAGGATAAGGGTGACAAACGAGCACACAGTGATGGTAAGTGGTTGCTGTGGCCCATAGACATCTACATCAAACTAAATGCAGATGCGTTGTCATCCGTGAGGACTAAGATGGAATGCCTCATTTCCAGTAAAAAAGGTCTCCGGTTCTCTACACTCACCATACGAAACACAGCAGCGTTAAGCTGCTATTTGACGCTGGTATTCTGTAAGGGCGTGGTCCTGCCCCGGTTGAGCTGACCCATTCGTGCTAAAACTATACTACTAATATAGCTGAAGCATGGCTCTACCACGTGTAAACCAATCTACCACGTGTAGGTTAGAAGGGGATGGGCTCCATCCCCTTCGTGGTTATTTTTTTATAAACTATCCGCTTGGGCAACCCGACTGACCAATCATTGTGCTTCGTTTATAATAGCCAACGATTCTTTTCGCATATCTTTACTAAAGCGAGTGGCGTTTTTATAAAAACCCCTATATTTTTTCAGTAAGATTGAGAAATGTCTAATTATCCGTCTTTTCGCGATATTCCTAGATTTTTGCGGAAAATTTGCTTTATCAAATTATCCTACGTCATATACAATATTTTATGAATACAACTGTCATTTTAATTAGATTTTGTTATATTTTATTCTGTAACTAACTTTTCACTGACAATTGAAAAATTAGATCAGGTTGAAAAGATTATATTTTTGCCTAAATATTGTACATTCTCACCACACTGAAAGAGTTGATCATAACTTGAAAGCTAAGTTTATAAATATTATTGGTATAACAGATGTTTAATTTCAGGTTTACGAGACTGGGTTAGGTATGATCACATTCCATTTCAATTATTGGGTTTTAAGTTATTTGATACTCTGCGGTTTTGAACAGATCTTACCAATCTTATCATTCCGTAGGCCCTCGGTAAAGGGGCGCCGCCTTTTCCTTTTTCCCTGCCTAGGGCTACTTTGCTTCTTATTCTGAAACAAAATTAATATCTTATATTGTGAAGTAAAATAACGTTTATAAAAAAATTGGATTCAATTAAACGTTTTTACGTGGGAGAGCCACGCTGCTGCTATATTATGGTTGAAGTTCAGTTCGATCGGAGACGGACCATCTCACAGAACAGCTTAGAACAGAACCGTTGACCCTTTTTACTGGAAATGAGGCATTTCATCGTAGTCCTCAGGGGTGATAACGCATCTGCATTTTGATTCTTAAATGAGGATAAATGTGGATGTCTATCGGCCACAGCATCCACTTACCACCAGGTGGACTGTGTGCTCGATTGTGATGTTGTGAAGCCACTTTAGCCGAAAACACCCGAGGCAAATCTCGTATTTAAATAAGTGGTAAAATTATTTATTTTTACAACCGACTTCAATATAAATTATTGTTGATTTTTTTGAAAACCGCTAGACCGATTCGATGAAATTTAAATGGAACCACCTGGGAAGTATACACTGTGAAACAAAAAAGAAAGATTTTCCAAATCGGTACAGGCGTCTTCGAGTAATGTGTAAATAATACATAAAAAAAGGCTTTAATAAAAATATTGTTATTTTTGTCGCCAAACCACACACGTTTTTGTTTTGTTTTCTTGCAATCCTGTCCATCCAAAGGTTGTCTGGAAGAGATCGCTCTTAGCGATAAGACCGCCCATTGTACCACATTTCTTTTTCTCATCTTTGTTAATATTTTTGTTATTTTTTGGCGTACAATAAAGTGTTATCTATCTATCTATCTATCTAAAAAAGATTCCGACGAGTTGAGAACCTCCTCCTTTTTTGAAGTCGGTTAGGCTACACTATATTATCTGTGTGTTCAGAACATTAAATTGTAAGCGTAGTGTTTAACGTTACATTTTAATTGAAATTATTCCGAGGGATGATCGCTCACTTCATAAATCATTCTTCTCAATCATTCTCGGGATGGGGGGTGTAGGGCTCCTATTGATTAGGAGTCAGTCAGGGCAGGTATCTTCTTTTTAACAATTTGGGCACCGAAATGGCAGTGCTTGCAATGCTGTTTTCCGGTCTAAAGGATATACAGATCCAATGTAATTATAGACCGTGGGGCATTCCAACTTAGTCCTTAGAGACCAACGGCTTTACTTCCCGACCCGAGATTCAAACTCGGGACTCATGATCGGCAGTCGCGCTGACGACCACTATACTGACGAAGCTATAAAGTAGTGCTTCCTTTATTTATAATTTTAATAAAGTATAATAACTATTGATATACTCACGCATTAGATATTTCTAGTAATTTTGTGGCTAGCACTGGCGTAATGGTTATGTTCTGGAAGTTGAGGCAATGTGGCCCCATTTCCCTGTTCTGAAACAAGCAGCTGGTTATGATCTTTTTTTATTAATTTCAGTACAATATGTCATGACTAGACATCGGATAATATACACTAACAAAATGCGAAAATATGCATGCAAATATGCACTAAAACAGGCCGAAATATGCACTTAAAATATGCACAATGCAAAAGCAATAAGCCGTTTTTATTTTTATATATTTTAAATAAAGACGGTATGTATAAAAACAGCGAAATGTTCTTAAAGTTATGTATAGTTTTTATGACAATATACAATTAAGTATTTTTCAAAATTTTCGAACGCGAATTTGTGACGTTTATCACCCAGTCACCCCGTATCAATTTGTATGTCGAAAACGACCTGTCTACATCAACTGACGTAATTGTACAAAATTTAAAATTTGGCCAGTCAGTTCAGTCAGCCACTGCGCTCGCGCCCTACACGTCTTTGTCACCTAGATCCCTATACGTAACTCCCGCTACTAAACGAAATATGCACGATTGGAAAAACAGGCTTATGCGTTTGCGCAATTTTTTATAGAATAGAATAGAATTACTTTTCATAAAAGTTTTATTAAAAGTCACGTTGGGGCTATGCTAGCATATATAGCTGCAGCAAAAATGGGTCAGTTGGACCGAGGTAGGACCACGCTTTCACAAAATACTAGCATTAGTGTAGAACTCGAAGACCCATTTTACTGGTAATTTCATCATATTCCATCTATATTCTGTCTCAGTCCTCGACACTATGACAGCAAAACTTTCTTAAAATATTTCAGCAGACGATGGAAAGCGCTATGACTGGTGTTTTTTTTGTACTATAAGGGTGACAAGCGGGTATACAGTCCACCTGATGGTAAGTGGTTGCTGTTATCCATAGACATATACATCTATCCTCGTTTGCGAATCCAAATGCACATGCGTTGCCACCCGTGAGGACTAAAATGGAATGCCTCTTTTCCAGTAAAAAGGGTCTCCCGTTCTCTACAGTCACCATGCGAAACAGCAGCATTAAGCTGCTATTTTATGTTGGTATTCTGTGAGAGCGTGGTCTTTCCCCGGTCGAGCCGACCCATTCGTGCTACAACTATACAATTAATATAGCTGCAGCATGGTTCTACCACGCATAAAGGATACGCCGGAAAATCAAAGTCTTTGATATAGTCCTATAGTGGAGAACATTTTTATTTTAATGAAAACATAATGTAGGACACCTTTTGGATGCGCCCTTCTGATCTGACAGGACTGTCAGTTGTAGCTGACAGTTATTGTGTGTATAAAGAATTTTATTTATTCATACCAAAGCTGACAAAGTCGCATGTTAAATTATATTTCCATATGTGGCGGCGCTGTCGTCGCGCCACAAGCGAAACACATCGAAGCCTAAATCGCGCTAACAAAGTTTCGAAGTTAAAGCAGTATATATAGAATAGCTCTGAACTACTACTCGGAGCGTTGGCCGCTCCTTGGGCAGAACACCTTGCCCGGCAGGAGATCTCCCCTTTTCTTTCCTACGGCTACACATACTTATGATAATCATGATTATGAAGTGAATAATGTAGTGACGGTGTAAGAATATCCACTACCCCATAACATCCCGTGAGTGTCGTAAGAGGCGACAGAGAAAAGCAAATCAGGAGACGGGTAGTAGCGTCTTCCTAATAACGACTAAAATAAAAAACTGCGGTTGACAACACGCTAGCCAAGCGTGGCAACTATGGCAACTATCCCCCCTATGAGGCAATCTAAGCGAGAGACCCATGTCTAGCAGTGGACTTTTGCACGCTGTAACGGTAACAAAAGTGAACAGTCACAAGTACAATCCGTCTTGTACGAGAGACATTTGTAGATTTAATTTTTGTTTAGTTTTAAAAAAAACTTTAGTAAACTTACTTTGTCATAGTACATACACATAACGTGCGTTCCTTCTTTGCAGTACTGCATCTTTGGGCAGTATTCCGCTACGTAAACACTCTTTTGACTTAAACCATCTATGACTCGGGAGCATAATGTGCTATCAAATATATACAGTAAAGAAGTTAAAATTATTTGGCGATCCTGAAATAAATATAGAATATTAGATACGAACTCCATATGTTTGCTTGGTTTGTGTTTCTCGCCCTGCCTTCCATCGGGATGTAAACCTCAACTTCTTATTTCTGTTGGTATTATTGTTGTATGTTTGTTCTTTTTGTAATATCAATTCATCAATCAAAATTGAGATTGTCAATGAGAGTCGTGTTATCTTTAATTATATCAATTGTACACATTCTTATTTTAAAATTATTTTTTATTTTTATGTGATTACACTAGTGTAATCATAGGCTGTGAGCATTGATCATTAATAAAAAAAACTAGGTACACAATCCCATGCATAAGTTCTCTAAAAACTGTCGCCAATTGTTTTGATTTAATTCTAGTTGAAATAAATATGCATTAATTTAAATTAAACCTTAAATGCATTGCCTAAAGTTGTATTCACAAAGCTACGTATAAATTAAAAGCGCACCCAAATGTTAAAGTAGGCGCTCATTCGTAAGGACATTTTTTGTCACTGATTGTGTATCTAGTTTTTTTATTAGTGATCGATGGCTGTGAGGTATTCCACGTTAGATTAGTCCTCAGTGATGACAACGATTGTCATCTTTGTGTGAAGTTGCTTGAAGATATCCATATATATTGAAGTAGCTTCTTTTACACATCTACAATTAGCTCGATTATGCCCCTTATGATGAAAAAACAATTCAAGGCCCAATCCGCCATTCTACTGGTATAATTTACCATTTTTACCGATTTAGTTGGAGTGGTTAACAAGAATGTTGCAGAAAAACAATGATCGTAAGAATAAACAAGCAAAGAAAATTATTATTTAAGCTCATCAAATTGGACTTCACCTCTGATAGAGATTTTAATAATACACGTTTACTTAGAGCGATCACTTCGAAGTATGAACACCGTCGACACTTCTTATATAGTTGTATTTTTAAATGCTGATTAAGGACTTACTCTGCGGTCAACGAAATTATCGTTAGAAAACTTGAATGTTTGTGTAAAAAATGTTTATTCATCTCTGAAATATTTTTCTGAATGTATGAAGCTCATTTCTGATGAAAAAACATTTTTCTTACCAAACGCAAGAGGCCACCGCGGTGAACTCTCCCTTCCCTTAGGCACTCTCGCGAATTAGAAGGGGCTTATGTAGAGTAGAACAAATAAATGTCTCACTTTACTTTTGTTATGTTAATCCATATAAATCATTATAAAATAGATCCTGTGTCTCGCATCGTTAATGACGAAAACAGGAGACCCTTTTTTGCTGGTTAAGAGGACAACGAATCTGCATTTTGATTCTTGATCACTCTTATTTTTGTAGTGAAAGAAAAACCTTTTTTTTACGTTTCCATAATCAAGAAACTTACCCAGCCACACATCATAAAATTTCCAAGTATTGTATTGGCATCATAATCTCAAATATTTCTTCGAATTTTCTATTGATCTTCTTACTTCGTGTGTGTGAGATACGGTTCTAAAAATATTTTATAATTAGCAATAAATATTAGTATTATTGAAATAGAAATTTTTTACAATACATGGCTACATTATATGTACTGTCTTCATCATCATCCTTACAGCTTTTCACAAGTCTACTGCTAAAAATGGGCCTTCCCCAAGGAATGCCAAAAATCACGCCGTAGTTTCTTCGATGTTGGAAGGGTGTGCAGTGCGCCCGTCTGCGGGCAAGCTACGTCCCATCCGTTATCCTAATTTTGTTTGTAATACTAGGTGTGTGTGTGGTGTTTATTTATTTATTTAAAACTTCATAATATACACATGTGGTATATAGGCGGACTTAATGCTTAAGGCATTCTCTACCAGTATACCTTACGATTATGAAGAGATAGAATGAAGTAGGTGTAATAAAAAGTTAAAATGCAAAAACTAAACACAAATAACAAAAAAATGTAGTAAATGGAAATAAAATACATAAGATAATGGTAAGTAATAAATGGTACATTACAAAAATAAAAAATATACATAAAATAAATTATAATAAAGATAATAAAAATGTATAAAACTTAAATACATATTATAATGTCAGATGTATGTAAACTCATAAAGATATACAAATATACACATCTACAATATAAAAATAAATCGCTGAATGTGTTGCTAAGCGCAAATCTCGAGAGCAGCTGAACCGATTTCGCTAATTCTTTTTTTATAATATTCCTTAAAGTACGAAGATGGTTCTTACGGAGAGAAAAAATTAAAAAATTGCCTGAAAAAGTCTAAAAACAACACTTTTCTCTATTCCCATACAAAAGATTCGTAATAATACTTAAAAGTCAATTTGAACTTTAATACCATACCATAAAGTTTAAGTGTTAGTGGAGGGGTTCTGGGAAGCCAAAACAATTGAATGACGTTAGTATCGTATAAATATCAATGTCAATATTTGTCAATATTTATAAGATGGTAACATTACTCAAAAACAAAATTAGGGTTCCGCGCAAAAAAATTGATATCCATGAAATCTTAGTAAATTCCACGCGGGCGAAGTCGCGGGGCAAAGCTAGTAATCAAATAAAATACATAATATACATAATAATAATATATACTTATAAACATATATATATCTAAACTATCTGGCCAGGCAGACGTTGTTCTGCTATTTCCGACGACCCTTCCTATGAAAAAATCCTTAAATTCGCAATAAAAAAATATTGAAGGTCACTTATTGGTAGTATCCTATCTCTCAAGTTGGACCAAACTGCACATAATGTGCAAACTTTCATTGAAATCAATTCAATAGTTTAGTTCAAAAGTTCATCGCGGACAAACCAATGTGACACGTAATTTTTATATATATATATATATATATATATATATATAAAATGTTACTATGACGATTCTGCCAATTAATTAATTAAGTGTTCCCGAACCTTCATCTTGAACGCGTACCGATTGCTAGCCGTCCTGATTTCGAGAGGTAGTGCGTTCCAAGGCAAAATAGATTGAATGTGGAAGGAAGAATGAACAAGTCCAGAGCTATGGAAGGAACATAGGAGAAGAAGGTTGTTCGTAGAGCGGAGGTTTCTCTCATGACTAGCGCTAAGCAACTGAAAGTAAGGAGATAAGTAGGAAGGCGAAGTTGGAGACATCTCCTGATGTCTCCAACTTAGAATAAAGGGTGGTGAGTGCACGCAAACTACGGCGTTGACGAATAGGTAACCATTTTAATTGAGATCGATACGTGGATACATGTATTGAAAATAAATCGAATCCAGTTATTCAGAAGACGGTCATATTTGTTGAGAAGATCTGCATTCAGATCGAAATAACACATATAGCCATAGTCGATTAGGGGAAAAATTAAATTTTGCACAAGCATTGTTTTAATTGCAGATGGTAGAAAATTTTTTAGACGATAGAGAGAAAGCAGGGTACCGGTGATTTTCTGGCTAACGGTCGTTGCTTGGTCTTTCCAACTCAAGGTAGAATCAATTAATAAAACCTAGATCCTTCACAGTAGAACACAATTGAATCTCAGTACTGTTAAAAAAACAGGAGGTAGAACTACTGTTTACAATCTCTGAATCATCCAACGGGTACCAATTATTATGGCCTGACACTTCGAAGGGTTCACCATTAGGCCAAACCTGTCAGACCAGTTCTTAATGTACTCAAGGTCGCTGTTAATTATGTCCACCGCTGTAGAAATATTGTCAATACTCGCTTGTGTGAACAATTGCAAGTCATCGGCATACAGATGATAAGCAGACTGAAGGTTTTGGGTAATGAGATTAATAAATATAGAAAACAACAAAGGAGATAATATGTCGCCTTGAGGAACACCAGCATGTATGTCAAACCAGCTAGATGATAGCTCATCGATGCGAACCGACTGCTGGCGACTTTGAAGATATGATGAAAACCAATCCAGTGCTTCGGGTGAGACCATAGAAAGGGAAAGGATGGAAATTAGAATGTCATAACTGATGGTATTAAAGGCGTTCGAGAAATCAACTAAAACCAACACAGTGACTTTAGTATCCTCTATACCTGCCCGAATATCACCAGTTACTTTCAGGAGCGTGGAAACGGTGCTATGACCGGGCCTAAAGCCAGACTGCAAGGGACTTAATAAGTTATTACAGGAGATAAACTGCGAAAGTTGCTTGTGGATACAGGCCTCAAGGACGTTGGATAAGAAGGGAAGGATGGATATAAGTCGGAAATGATTGGGTAAAGTGGGATTTAGGATCTTTTGTAAGGAAATAACGTAAGCCTTACGCCACAAAGCAAGAAAATCATTTATGTGTGATGGACCGGCGTCATTAGGGTTGTCGGAATCCATCGGAACTAGGGCCTCTATTAAAACGTCACGATTACGGGGTGTCCAGAGACAGGCCGTAAGAAATGGAGTCAGAGCGTAAGTGTGGCTGCTTTTGTTACTAACAGGTTGGTATGTGTCTCGAGTCTTTTAAAAGTTCCCAATGTGCTTCGTGGAGTTTATACTGTTGTCCAATGTGACCCCTAGGCCATTGTTTTCCAGGGGATCTGACGATCGAATAGCGTAATCGTACCTAATGATTTTTTCATTTAATGTGAAAAGTGTGAAGAGAAGTGGGGAGAGGACGGAGCCTTGTGGAACTCCAGCAGGAGGTGCTACGAAGAGCGAGGTTTTCCAACTCGATAATGAAAATGCCAGTTAGCAAGAAAGGCTCAAAAAAGCTAATAAGACTTTAATAATGTGAGTGAGCCTATCAGTCACGTTTACTTTATACAGATTGTAAAGCAAGCCGTCGTGCCGACCTTGTCAAACGTCTTTGTGCAATCGAAGAACAGGACACCTGTATTGAGGGTTTGGTAACAACTTGTGTGTGAGAAGCCTTCCAGAATGTATTTCGTTAGATCAGATGTATACAAGAGTGTCAGGGTCTAAAGCCGAACTGCTAGTCGGGAAAAAGCCTGTTGCCTGAAGGTGAAGGCTAGGTCGCACGGTTTCCCTGTTTTCAAGATTTCATATAACGTCTACCTCTTTCCGCCAGGAAAGTTGCCGGACGCCAGCCTGGAAAGAAACAGCTAGAGAG